ACAAATATATCGAAGATATTGGGGAAGCCTAACATATTCCTTGGAATTCAGAAGTGTATTCTACTAGATTTAACTAATATTTCTCTGTTTATTGTTAAATACAACCAGGTTCATACCTAGAAGCATCGGTGATCTACTGATATTAGATATGAAAGCCGGTCAGAAGAAAGCTTCTTCCATTCCTTCCAGAAACACTTGTTTGTTGTACGTTGTCTTGACAATATAAGCGGCGCTTTATTTACTTGACATCCAACACTATCATACTGTTAACAATTATCCATAATCTACATCTGTCCGGCGTTTGTTGAACTATCGATTTTCTCGTTGTTATGCATCCGAGTTTTATATTCGGATTTTTCAGACAGATATATGCGACTGTCCTCGCCAAATTTATACACGTTATTTTTCAAGCTGCTGTTAGTAACCGAAACCTTAAGTTCAGCTTTAAGTTTATAAACAATTAAACTGTACAAAAATATTTATCAATATGATGCTTTCACGTTCTAAACCTGCTCTCCAGAAACAAAAGGCTGTTCCAATACAATCAAGAAAGATTCCGAATTTAATTGAATTCGTTGACAAGCGCGATTTCACCGGGGCACTAACTCTTTCGGAGTTTGAGCGCTGCTGTGGTAATTCCAGTATTGAGACAGACCTATGGGTAGCATACTCGGCTTTTCATTTGGGAGAATACAAAAAAGCCGCCGATGAGTATAGGAAACTTCTCGAAAAACCTAATGTGCCTTCAGACGTTCACACGTATCTCGCATGTTGTTACTTTTTCCTCGGAATGTACCAGGAAGCAATGAAATCTGCTAAAGATGGCCCAACATGTAAACTGCAAAGTAGGCTTTTGTTCCACATAGCTCATAAATTAAATGACGAACGGGCCCTTCTCAATTATCACAATTCGTTAGACAACTCAACAGAAGATCAACTATCACTGGCATCAATTCACAGCCTTAAAAACCACCATCAGGAAGCTATTGATATATATAAACGCATCTTACTGGATAATAGAGAATACTTGGCCCTAAATGTAAACATAGCTTTATGTTACTATAAGATGGATTATTACGATATATCTCAGGAAGTATTGGGAATATACCAGCAACGTTATCCAGATAGTGCAACGGCCATTAATCTAAAAGCATGCATCAATTTCAGGTCGTACAATGGCAAGGCAGCCGAAGCGGAACTAAAAGCTCTTCATTGTGTTTCTACTTCATCATTTACATATGCACAAGACCTCATTAAGCACAATTTAGTTGTTTTCCGTAATGGGGAAGGAGCTCTGCAAGTAATACTGAAATTAAATTCATAGTGTTTTCTAACATACATGAATATTGTCACTGTTATTATATGATAAGATCCTACTATATTTGTAGCTTCTTGTTGCCAACATTAGAAGAACTGATTTATGACCAATTTCCTAGTACATTATTTTTTTTAAAATGCAGGGCTAGTTTATTTAAATTTATTGAACATGTTTGAATTTTTATTGTTGTGAGTGAAACCCCAGGTTATGTGACACAAATTCGAAGCTCAGAATTCGTATTAGATGGTAAGGCTTCCTGTCATTTACTTACGAGGAGTAAGTGATTTAATTAAAGACTAAACTCTCTAAAATGTTCGTATCTCCTATTTAAATGGGTACTGGGAACAGATTCTGGACTCTAATCGAAACTCGAATACTAAGTGAAGTTTTGGTACGTCGTGTAAGAAATTCAAGTGTGCGCGCACCAAAGGCTTATTAGCACTATATCCGCTTACTTATTGATGTTTAGAAAAAAAATTCTTGCATGGCTGAGCTACTGATTATACTTTTTAAAGGTTAAATGCGTTGATTTAGGTAAAGAAAGTACACCTGAATAAGAATCTTGTAGTTACTACACTGTCCATAGCTCCACATGTGCTGTTGTAGGAAAACTTTCCGATGTTATTCAAGAAATGTCCTAGCAATGACTTCCTATTTACCAGTAACATCACTTCGAGATACATTTACAACCTAACAGTATGGCCAATCTGGTTTTACTGTACTTTTCGTTATCCTCGTCCCCTGTGTTAATAAGTTAAAAAACCTGGAACTGACTCATTTCTACCTGATCTTCAATACTTCCTTGTTAATAAATTTAAACTGTTCAAAGACGGCAGAAATGTGATATTTTCTGTCACATATAAATAGGTAATTTTATTGAAAACTATTTAATAGTTTATGTCACTAAAATAGTCGGTTATCTCACCAAATTACAATACAGTGAATATATATATTTTTTTAGGTGCTACCACCCTTGTTAGACGTCCTGCCAGAAGCAAGACTTAATCTCATAATCTTCCATTTGAAAAATGACGAACTACAAGAAGCCTATGAACTTACTAAAGAAATCGACCCTAGCACACCACAAGAATATGTCCTAAAAGGAGTTGTGAATGCTATTATGGGTCAAGAGCATGGGTCACGTGAGCACTTGAAGCAGGCTCAACAGTACTTCCAGCTAGTGGGAGGATCAGCCAGTGAATGTGATACAATATCTGGACGTCAATGTATGTCTTCTTGCTTTTTTCTTCTTCGACAGTTTGATGATGTTCTTATATATTTAAACTCTATAAAAAGCTACTTTTATAATGACGATATATTTAATTTCAACTATGCTCAAGCTAAGGCAGCTGTAGGAGCCTATAAGGAGGCACAAGAAGTGTTCTTGCTCATTCAATCAGAACATATTCGTTCAGAATATACCTATTTAAGTTGGCTAGCAAGGTGCTACATAATGACTAAACAAGCTCGTTTAGCATGGGAGTTATACCTGAAAATGGAAACTTCAGCCGAATCCTTCAGTCTGCTGCAGTTAATAGCTAACGACTGTTATAAAATGGCACAATTTTATTACGCCGCTAAGGCATTCGATGTACTAGAAAGATTGGACCAAAACCCAGAATACTGGGAGGGTAAACGTGGAGCATGTGTCGGTGCCTTCCAGCTCATAATAGATGGACAAGAACCCAAGGAAAGACTTCGAGAGATAATCCAAATCTTGCGTAATACAAATAATCCTCAGACAGAATATCTTATACGTGTTATGAAGAAATGGGCAAAAGAAAACAAGATTGTTGTATAATGATGACCATAAACTGTTGTATGATTTATGCATGTATAATAATTAAACAAATTCATGAATTCTTCGTAAATGTTTGTTATTCTTAACGAAATCTGAGACGATAGTTAATTAGGAGTATAAAAGAAAGAAATCATCTATCAAACGCTGAAAAACCCTTCAAAACTAGATAGACTTTTCTCAAAAAAACTATTTATATCGATGTAATTTGACTAATTTTTTATTTACCATAAATATACAGCGAACTATCCTATCAAACGATTGAACACCATATTGTAAGAAGGAAATGATACAAGAACTTAGCCTGCATATTCAAATATCTAGAAGCGTGTCACTTTTCTTTGCTCCTACGTTTCGTTACTGCCCCCAAATTCCCTGGTACGGCCGAGAGTGGGGAGAGTTCGCTCTCCCTCTCCAAATGCCCTCACATGGCCACGCGTATATAGCCTCTGCCAGGGCAGTACTACTCACTGCATTCTCGTGGCGGGGGTGTTGTTTACGAAATTGAGAGGACGAAAAGAGAATATCCGGGGTTTTAACCGGGTTGCTGGATACGAAGGATCCACCTAGGAGAGTTGGAAAACCCTGATTCCAAACAAATGGTGCGCATGGGCTCCAGTACCTTGAAGGAACAAATGACGTATGAACCAATTATTGGTCACCGGCTACCATGGGACTGCATCTCCTTACGATGCTCCACTGCCTTGTGGATCAAACCTTCAGGTCGAAGGCTCCGTGTGTGGCCCCCTAAGAAAACCACCTGCCTCGGTTTGGGTACCCGGGCAGTATCACAGCCCTCACACGTATCAAATGAGATATGTGTGGCGCATATGTATTTGGTGCCTTCTTGTGCCAATATCTGTGTTAAAATAAAAAAAACGTTCGTTACTAAGTCACAATATAAAATACCGTGGAACGAAAAATTTAAGGATATTTCCTTGTCTAGCGACATGATTAGCAAACTAAACTCGAGACATAAGTGAAAGCTTTTTCTTAGAATTGTCACAGGAAATACGGTCGTTAAAGAGTGAAAATTAACAGTTTAGTTTTAGAAGTCGTGAATTGTTCCTAAGTAAGACGGACACAAAGTAATTTCAGGTTGAGCAAAATGATTAGAATATGTATAAGAACAATGAGTAAGGATTGACAGATTATTAAACAAACAGGAAACGTAGTCATATATTTAGGAGTCATGATACTATGAGACGAATTGTTGATATGATCGAAAATGAAGCAGATTGAGACAAATTCCCATATACAATCGATTTCAATATTAAAAAAAAAATTGTACACCACAGAAGACAAAAGAAAGAACAACATGAATGGAAGAACAATGTACTTTGTAAGAGACAATTCAAGAAAGATGTGCATATAGTGTATTTAATGTGTTGTTTTCATATTTTAGACAGACACTGCGTAATTTTTCATAATATAACTGATTTCCTCTGCCCAAGCCTTCATTGAATACAATATGAAAAAATTGAGTTTGAAGAAGAGTATTACAACAGCTAACCTAAATCACATTCAGTTACCACTTACATCTTATTATAAATAGATCAAGCAAAGTACAATATCACACGAAAGAGCATTACGTAGAACTGCCAAGTCTTTCAATTATGACAATTGTAGGAAATTAACATAAATAGGAAGGGGTTATGAATGTTTGAAACAAAAAAAAAACGATGAGTTAACAGTAAGTAATATAGTTAGAGTTCGGGGAAGACAATAATTACAAGTGACACAAAGTAACGAGCAACGGCTTAAAATGTAAGAGATTAATGTAACACAGGTTTATTATATACACTTCATATAATATTATATATATATATATTTATATATATAATAATATATATATATACTGAAAAAATAAGGTAGGACTTCGATTTATTTTTCGAAATGTAATTTAATTAACTCATCAATTCTGTGGAGATCCTTCAAGGAATACTGTGCACTACCACGAGGAAGAGGTTTACTCTACAAAAAAAGAAACAGGAATGATTTAATTATTAGTTCAATAAATTGTCTGTTTCGTCTATTTTAAAAGGCCACTTTAATACTTTATTAATGATTTAGAAATCTAAAAAAAGATTAAAGGTGATCAGATTAAAAAACGGGGTAAGAAAATGGTCACCGAATTTCATTTTAAGCACAGTGAGATGTAGACTTTCTAACTAAAGGTTTTTGTGATCATAAAAACTATCGGTAATCTCAAAAATTGATTAAAGTTGCCCAACTCACGTCAGTGTATTTTTACACCTAAATATGAAGCATCATATCACCGTTTATTCATTTTTATTTATCTGACAGTAACATACTGTGCGTATAAATTTTCTCCAAATAAAAAATACTGCTTTAGGAGTAGTTTGAGTTAATCAGTCATAATTAAGACAGGGGGCCTAGTACAAATGTTCGTCAGCCAAAGTTGTCATACCACCACGTAAGCAGGATGAAATAAAATTAACAAGATGAATAGCGAAGAAGTCGAAACAATCAACTCATTGAAGTGAATCAGTAGCTTAATCATTAAGCTTTTAATCAATATGATACAAGTCCAAAATCCGGTTCACTTATTTTAGTATGGGGCAATTGGATAGTGTTATAAACTCGTGGACATAAAGTATGACTGAAAGACGATTATAAGAATCGGTACTTGATTGCTGAGTTAGATTGAATTAAATTTTATTTAACAATTTGTTGTTATCATTAAGTTAAGAAACATAACAAAGAGGAGTATTTATGAGGGGCATTCATTTTATAAATGGGTAAGGTCATATATTACACTAAGGTCACAAATATGCATACAGGGAGGATATTGCCACTTCGCTGAATAATTAATCATATGTTCACAATTAGTAGGGACTTGGAGTACCAAAACGTGGCATCAGTGCTTGAAGTCACTAACTTCTAGTCTGAGCCATGTTGGTAGATGCAGACTACTTGGTTGGGGTCCGCGTGACTTTCGTAACCAATGGTTGGAGACTCTTGGTGACATGGTTCAGAATCGATCACAATGACGTAGGTGTATACACTCCCTGTCTTCCCTTAAACTAAGAGATTAAAATCACTTCACATCTTTCTTTCTACTAACTAATTCTTTCTTCCTATACTATATCCTTATCTGAAATCTTTCTTTTATATATTACCACCTTTGACCTAACCACTCCTATGAATCCGGTGTTCATCTTGCTGTGCTAATGAGGTATGGCAACCTGGACCGATGCACATATGTGCCTGGTCCTACGTTGTAGCTGATGATGATGTTCGACTCACAGTCATAAAGATGTATTAATTGGTATTCGACTAGGATTCAGAAGTTTAAAATACTTCAGTCAACACATAACGAACAATGATCACTTACTTGAGAAGGATCAGGTTTCCATCCAATAAAATATAACAGCCGATAGGTTGCCGGAATACAGCGTTCATTCTCTTCATCTTCACGAGGAACACTGAATTTCTCTATAAAAAGTGATACAATTTGAGTTTATTAACTAGCAACATACAAGATTTGAAAAAACAATAGGTATATATATATATTTGTTGCATATCTACGAAGTAACTAGATTATATATCTTTATATTCCTTTCATTACAAACTTTTGTTTGACTTACTGACTATTATTATACGATTTACTATTCTTAAGATATTCCCAAGTTACCAGTTACAGTATCCCACACTCACAGCCGCTATTGGCCTGATCTCGTATAATTGTTGTTTTCCATTTTATGGTGTGATGCGATCTATTTTGCTTGTATATGAACTGCGTATGTGTGAAATACAAAATTCATACAGTGGAAGCTAAGATTGTGTTCTGGATTCAATGGTTAGGGCTAGACGAGAAAGACTCAGAGTTGACTCTAGGCTGCTCGTGATGGTTAACGTGCCGTTGGTTTGATACAGGGCCAAGTTCTATAAGTCGGTGTTCTGATTGGCGATCTTATCACATGATAATAAATAGGGAAAAATATATATATAACAATTTCCTAAAATTTCTAACCATTAGGTTATAAGTGCGTTGTACACTCAATCGGTGAAACTTTTACCTCACTACCAACTACACGACTGACACCAAGGGACAATAGTTTCAGAAACTAAGGCTACCGTTTTCGTTTGTGATATAGCTAAGAAAAAGTACAGGCAATAGTTTTAATAATGGTTATCAAGCACAATGAAAAAATACAACTACTCATTCTTTTCTACATTCAATCCAAAAACACAAGTTCAATCTTGACTAATTAAAAGAATAATTAAGATCTACCAAAAAAATCTATTATGAAGAAAATTTTTCGAATAGTATAAATAGGTTTGCAGTGTTCTAGAAAACACAAAGACAATATAGTATGTATATTAAAACATCAGTGACTTAATAAAGCATATTTTTAATAAGTGATAAGAAAGAAAGCACTAAACATGAGAATATATGGTGGGAAGGAAAAAAAACACATGTCCGCATAGGATGCACATATGCCAACAAGAAACTCATCAAGTGCAGTCCTAAATAACAATAAGAAGATACAAGTAAAACGACACCAAGTGAGTTAAAAGACGTTAGCTATTCGAAGGATTTGAAATTGAACTTCTATATTATTGATAAATGTATACGAATTGAATGAATTGTTAACTCAGTGAATATCTAATTAAGATGAAAATATGATCTTTCTCTTTGTAAACTTACTGAATAATTGACAAGTGTTATCAGAAAAAAAAGTTATTTATTGAAAACCTATTCATGACAAGGCTAACTATGATAGATTGAAAATTAAAATTACATAACAGCAAAATGAATAACTTGCTTTTAAAATACATATGGAAACCGATGAGTTGAGGTACAAAACAAGTAATTTAAAGTCTATTATATTTTGTGATAGATTGCAATAATTTGGAATTATAAATGATTAGAAGATATCACTGAATACAAGCGTGATCTATACATTCTAGAGGGTTGGAGATGACAGTTCAACAACAATAAGCCCCTTAGCGATTGACGAGAGGAGATAGGAATTTAAGAAGAGTTTGATATTACAAGATGCAAAATTTGTGATACAACAACTCTGTTTATATGGTAACGACTGTAGTCTCAAAATATATAGCAAACTAAAGATCTGAAAGAAACCAATGAGACTATAGAAAAGGTTAGTGGGGTGATATGAATTGAAAAAGAAGTTACTGAGAACATATTTGTTCATCAGAATTACCGTTAATTGATAAAACTAAAAAGGGTCAGACAATTTGAATCCTTTCTAGCAGAACTATACATTGATGATTGCATCTGTTAGTTCATGATAACATGATATCAAGTAGAATTGTACAAAATCTTGCGAAATAGAGAGGGATTCGAATTCGTGAACAATTCTTATTCCATATAACATTGGTTAAATAACCTATGAAATTCTTAAGAAACGTGTGCAATGCATGAAGTCACCTACAATCGTAGCTGTAAATTCAATATCCGATCAGAGTATAACGGTAAATAGTTTCGTGACTACTATCTACAGAGCTATATTCAATTAGTTTTAGTTGGTATATAGACTAACTGAACAGGCACTTCGATATTACCTACGTTTACAAATTGATTATACCTTAAATAATGGCACAGACATTTCAGTTGTCGATTCCCCTATAAGATGAAATTCACATCTCGAATCACTCTGTTAAATATTAGTGAAAATCAAACTAAGAAACAAGTGTATAACAACGCCTGTATAAGGAACATCTTTAAACTCACAAGAAAACTATGTTTGAATTACGCAGCTAACAATTTCAACAAAGGATAACTTTATATCTTGTCAAAATATGTCCATCTGAATACTGTATTTCATTTGAACAACAAGACAATTAAACCAAAAAATATGATAGTACAATAACCATTATTTACCATTGTAAATTGCAGAGGCTGCAAATAGAACATCACGATTCAAACGTAATGGTCTATGAACAGTAGCATTAGATTCACCCATAAATCGTAGATCATTCATTAACGCAAATATATCTGGATAGTGAATTACAATCTCATCGATATCCTAAGAGAGTTGAAATGAAAATGTTTATTGATAAAAAGTGACAAAAAAACAAATGACTGAGTAATTAAATGTTAGAGATTTACATTTCTTTTGTATGTTACGTTCAGTTGTGCAAATAATTGTGTAATATGAAAGATAAAGAAAAGCACCTGAACTAGGACGTGAACGCTATCCAGATTTAGAAATTTAACGATAAAAAACATTCAATGAAAATGACATTGCACTGGTAAGTCTTCTAAGTGAACGCTCGAACCACTCCCTTAAGCTCTTATTTTAACTCAAAGCTGAATCTACTCAGCAACCTGAACATGAGAGAAATGGCTAGTTTATGTACAGAAAGTCGAGAGTATTTATAGTATTTCTGGTGCCATTTAGGTTTCTGGAATATCCCGGAATCAAGCTAAATATAATAGCAGGATAGATAATTATCTAATCAGAAATGTGATAACGTGAATCTTCACTCTCTAGATGTTTCTGAGAAACTTATATTCAACACTGATTGGATAAAATATTTCCCAGCGTTTTCATGACCCCTCTTGACTTTTTCGAGGAATGCTTTGAATCTTCCCAACATCTTTCTTCTTTCGAAAAATAAGTCTTCTTCGTTGGATCTACTTGAAGCTTTATAATTGGCTTTCAGCAGTATTTCATCTCACTTGATGTCTTCTGAATCCAACCGGTTCAGCTATTACTCGCCATATCATACACAAACAGAAATAAACACTATACATAGCACTGTTATGCATGTAATAAACTGACTCAAGTTTTCACGTTTCAAGGAGCAAAGAGGTAGTAAATTACGGGAGGGAAAAATATATATTTCTAAGGTGGCTGAGGAATCACTTAAGTTCTGTTATTAATGTTAAATTCATACCGAGAACAGTAAGCATGAATACTTTTTTACTAATTCAATTAATTACATGCTTTTACCCTCTTTTAACTGGTTCCCATTACTGCTGGTTCGCTAGTTTTATGTGCTTGAAGGTCACGTCCTTGTTATTATATACAATAAGTTGTGCCATTTCAAGTTGGTCTGGTGGAACACCAAGTTTATCCTGCATTGCGTCTTAGCCGTCTGATAGAAAATACTTATTAAAACGTGCATCAGCTTCCGTCATCGAGTCCGCAATAGAATCGTTCACATTAAAATAGCTTAATTGCTTCTAACTTCGCAAAAATGTCAAAGACCAACCAGAACCCCCAAAAGATATCATTCCTATTAAGATTTAACATATATGTTTTTAAAAAACAAGGATAATAAGAGAGAAGACAAATGAAGACATTTAAAAATCGAGGTCCAAGTTTTTTTCGAGGATTAAATGATTTCGTATACACATGACATGATTTAGTCAGGCTATCAAATTAACATTATTACAAACTTTTCTGCAACAAACAGAATTCTGTCTGGGTGTATAGACATGAATTGTCTCATTTATCCATTTAGTTATCTGTCCAGAATTTTACACACAAATTTAACATTACTTACTAGACAGTTAGTTGTATACAAGTGGTGTTCCAACGACAATGACGTCATACTAATAAGCGACAAATTTGAATCCTCCTAACCCATCTACTTCGGGCTTAGGTGAACGAATGATATAACAAGCTGCTTTCATGAAGTATGGCATTAAATTCAAGTACACGTACCTACATTTGGTTGTGGACTGAGATTATCTTTTGTTTTTAATTATTAGTTAGATAAGAGTTTCTTATTTTCTCTGTGCAAATACAAGGTGTAACAATTTGGATCAAAGAAGATTCATAACACTAAATGATAAATGAGTGACTGGATTTTGATATGACGAGATAAAAAGACTATACTATTTAGGCTAATATTTATTGTATCAACTCAGTATACACTTCATTTAATATGACAAGTATGAACTTTCATTCAGTGTGATAAATATATTCCCTGTATCAATTCAGGTGTGTGTACTTTCCCTTACATGTGATATTATTGTGGGTAAAGATTAGCATAGAAATGTATTTTGGTCTACTAAGGACGTGAGTTTTGGATTTGGGGACGTATTTTTGGAGAGTCAATAACCCTACATTGCACTAATGTTTCATGTCCATACTTTACATCGAAGAAATTATAGTGATTCCCGTTTCAAATTATAAGCAGTAGGACTACGATATTACAGATTTCTTCACATTAAGTGATCAGTTCACAAAAAATAATATGAAAAGAATAACAGAGCTACGTAATCCGACGAGTTGATAACTTAAATGTACAAGCAAATTATTAGAATGATTGGATGTTTCTTTTATTTGGGGAGGGAAAGCCAACTACTCACTAAGATTCATCAGAATAAAGATAACATTACAATAATATTAGGGGATATTAATAATGAAAGTTGTGATAAAAAACACATGATGTAAGAAAAGCATAAAATCTGACAAATAATTACAATTATAAAATAGTTAAATGTTTTCTTTAACTTGGTTATCCGACAGACAGTTTACTGTTGAGTCTGTTATTGAACAGTGTAAATCTTATTAAGCAAAGGTGGATAGTGGCTAGCAGTGTAATCCAGTACGCGCGTTTCGTCCTATTTGGGACTCGTCATCCGGATGTACCTGCATCGCAGAGTTAGTGTTCACTCCGGGACTCGAAGCAAGTGCCGTTCGCTTCAAACGCCATCGCGTTATCCACTTAGCTATTGAGTCCTGATAGCCACCTGCTTGTGCAATGGGGTGAAGTTTAAATTCACTTGGTGTTGTTTTACTTGTATCTTTCCATTGTTAAGCTTGTGACTTAAGGCTAAATCGAGGCAATCCCTACAAGATGAATATATGCCAACATGAGACTGATCAATTGCAGTCCTAAAGAACGATGGGAAAATACAAGTAAAACAACACCGAGTGTAAATCTTAATTAAGAATCCCTAGTGATGATGAGATAAAATCTACTTTAAACATACTAGCATGGGATACCTCAGTAGTATGCATCTATGACCTCACCGGGGATTAAAACCTGAACCTTCAGGTCTTATGATGAGTGGTTAAACTCCATATCCCTGAGTTGGTGTTCAACCAACCCCCCGATGTGGTCGTGGATTCACACTACTGAGGAGCCCCATAGTAGGAAAAAACATATGTCTGGTGCGTTCTAGTTTTTACTGATGTCTAATTAAGGTCAAATTTAGATACAAGCTGTGAAAAACTGACAGAAATTACAATGACAAAGAGCTCGTATCAAGATTGCAAACCACTGACTTTGTGGTTAAATCGGTCAATTTTTAATCAATAATTCGCAGTTTCGAAACTCGCTTCACCTAATTCATTTTAAGCAGTCAAGTAATGTAACTAGCCTTCAAACAAACAGTACAAATTAAAGCAAAATACATGCGTTTGCGATTACATCATTGTCAGCAAAGTTTTGATTTATCCAGCTGTTGACATTCAAGATTGAATTTTGAACAGTCTTTGTTGGTAAATGTACATTCTGTGCAGATTATCAATCTGGACACAATAGCTCAGTGGATAACACGTTAGGGTTTGAAGAGAAAGGTAACAAGTTCAAACTTTACTGTGGACACCGACACTATGATCCAAGTACATCCTGATGACGAGTCTCAAATTAAATGAAACAAAGATTCTAGACTTTAGCGTCAGACAAAATTTGCATATCTACCCCATAAAACACAAAACTATACTTGATAAGTCAATTGATGGTTATACCGTCCCAAAAAAACTCTTATTTTCTATTACTTCCAATGTTGTTTAAAATATGATGAAAAAAAGTATCTCCAGATCAGTCAAAAATGTTAGAATGTGACTTCAGAATAAATATGATCAATAGAAAAAAAGAACACCGTCCAAATAGACATTATCAACATAATATACTTACCAATGTGATTAAATTGAACCCAGCACATTGTAACAAATTAGCCATATCTACACTATCCACGAATGGACTGATGTGCGATGAGATTCCACCTAATCTTTCTAATTCAGCTAATTGCAATGATACACGTAATTCATACAATGTATCCATTGCTGGCATCACACCTAATAAGCACCCATCATTACGCAAACATGTTAATATCTAAGTAGAGTTTGTTAAAGTAAAGAAGGGATAATTGAGGACAAACGAATAAATAGAAAATTTTAAAAAGAATAATTAAATTAGGCTGTAGCCTAGCCTACTAATCTGTAGCAGTTTTTGATATACTTCTATTCAACCTACTTGTTACCTACTAAATATATCATTTTAGTCTGACCACGTATATTATGAACTCGGAAATTATTTACTGATAACCTTGAGCGTTCTTTACATATGAGTATGTGTACATGTTTCTATTCGTTTCACTTACCTATACTTTACACGCGGTCTACATAATATGACGTTTGCTTAGATCTATGAGGAGGCGGCACTGCCTATCTGGATGCGGGTCAAATGACTGGGTAATTGAATGCCTGAACTATTTTTAGCCAGAAATATGCTTCTTATTTAATTTTATTATCTACGTTGTGTTAACGTGGTCAATTTATAGAATCTATACGAAGTTAATAGGATCTATTTGTCGTTCGCATCATTTACCATGGAATCAACTCAGTGACTCGAACTTTACTATGCAAAACTTTAACACCAGACACTCTGTGCTAATTGATATTATATCAGATATGGAACTTTGGGATTCTGCGACGGATGTCTTTTATCACTGTAGCCCTCGAAGGAGAACGTGGTAGACAACATCACGTAGTTTGCTGTTCGATTATGTTTTTAGTGTCGTTTAGGTCGTCGAAAATGTTGCTGACCAAACCGCGATAATTTTCTAGCCGATTCTTTTGATAATGACGAATGTATCGTCCATACAGAGTATCCAAACTTTTGGTTTGACCATTGGTAAGTGTTAATTTTGCATACGTATCATATTCGATTATCTTTTGTGGCGTATTATACTACTGAATAATATTCAGTAACTAGTTCAATTTCACATCATTTTAAAGGCATAGTATATCACGCTTTTTTCTTGTTGTGTAACAACTCCTTAAGTATTTACAGGAATTTGTCATACAATATACATATAATTGTAATTGTGACTTACCAAGTTTCGTGCACTTATTGACTCTTTGTTTACATGCAACAGTTCACATATTTTGAGCTATTAAGCTATCGTTTCGATTGTTGACAGTCATTGTTAACTTTAGATACAGCAACTAGCTGTCATTCGTATTATCGTATGTTGTAAACGATCTTTAAGTGACTAATTTATGGGTATTTTTCTTTCCTATGCACACTGATGTATTAAACTTCACGGATACCCCGTAAATTAAAGTTTGCAAATATATTGCATTTATTTTTCGCTTCCTAAACGAAGTCTTGGTGATAAACTATGATTTTCTGAACACTACCATGTAGCGTGATCAGACGCTCAAATAGATTTAATAATATCAAACTCTGATCAAAAATCTGTTCAATGCTCTCCAATTCTCAATAGTACCTCAAATAAGATCAATATTTATAAGGAATACTATCTGTGAAACAAACCAATCTCTACAAAACCCCTTCAAACAATCAACTAATGTTATAATCTGGTTTTTATGAATTGGCAAAAGTAAAATGTGAAATATCACTGGTAATAAATATAAGTGTATTGGTGAAAAAAGAAGAACATAAAAACAAAATATATAATTCATTTTAAAATATTTACTTGTTTTAATAAACCAGGCAGATCGTTTATCCAGTGTAGGCTTTCAAATTTACATGGAAATGAGTTTAGAAAAAAACAACAACAATCAGATAGATAAAATAATCACTTACTGGAATAAAGGTATAAGATAACACAAAAGCTGAGTATCATGACAAATTTATTTGTATAATTTAGTGGTATAAATGGACATAATGTATAAAAATCAAGCTTTATGATATCTCAGTGATGATTTATAATTAAGTGGATGTAACCACTATCCCTAGATAGAATATTTTACATTTTTTTCGAGAATAAATGGGGAATTTTGAAATAACTTTCGACATCTTCATAATATAACAAATGATCAGTTCATATGAACTGTACAGTGTTTATAAACAAGATAGACTAAATCAATAGTTGAGAACGTTATGTAACTGCCAAATTTGCATAAGAAGAGTTATGTCTATTGAGATTTCTTGTTAGTTGACAGTAAATTCTATTTACAGACAATTGAGGATCCCTTAAATATGGCGTAACGAATAAGGGCTCGAATAGACTGGATATCTATCACACAAACCACGTCAGAACTGATAATCTAAACGCTAACAGAGACAAAGAGACTTTCAGAAAACTTTATATACCGTATAGAGGTTGAAAATTGAAAAGGAACAACTCTGTCTATATGGTTACATGCAACGACCTTGAGGCAAAGCAGGATTAGCGAACTAAGGGGATATCAACCAAACACGTAACAATAAAGATTATTGCGGGGATATGAATTCGAAAAATGTCATCTAAGCTTTTCTATAAAGAAAGAATCAACCTGTAATAACAATATAAACTTGGATAACCTGAACTCTCCTTAGCAGTTACATTGTGTTTTGAAATCAATTGCAGTAGAGCAATGGGCCAGTTGGTTAAGTGTCTAGACTTTCAGCCACTAGCTCACAGGTTCAAGTACTGCTTTACTTACTTCGGTTGGACAACCGGATACTGTCACTAGTCCTTATACTTGGAATGCTGCTCGAATCGAAGTAAACGTGTCTGTACCTGGCGAGCTGCAAACAATTGTAATAACAAAAATGGAGTTTATGTTTATATTTTTTGTAAAGGCAGTGATAAAGAAGTGAATTATGATCCCAGTCAGTGATGTATTATTATAACGTCAAGCAGTTATGTATAAGAAGTCAAATACTTTAAACACCAAACCATAGTATGACTATGTCATTAAATAACATAGTTTAGATAACCTTGTAAGAAGGATACTTGAAATTCATTGGGAGGCTGAAAAGTGACTAAAAGAATTAACGAACTAGGGAATATGAAAACTAGATTCATATTTAATGGGTTCCTTTTCGTCCTTTCCCTTTTTAATATAATTAATTTAATGACATACACTTGTCAGTATAGTTGAATGCGAAATAGCAGTTAGGTAGCGAAATTCGAGAAAAGCATTTATCTTTCATTTAAGACTCATTATTTGGATATAAACCGATTCCAATATTGATGTTCCCACTAGAAACTCGGAATCAAAACCTATCGCCTGGAACACTGAAACATTGTGCACCATTCAGTGAAAATAACCAGTAAAATTTTATTCAGCGTTATATGATACATTATTAATTGTAAGAGGAAATTGAAATGCCTACACAATCAACTGGCATAGATTAAGAAAATAAAAACGACTTTACCTCATGGAGCTTAAAACTAAATCTAGAGTATTTGGTCGAAAGGGTAGACAGTATTCATGGCAATTTATGTTATACGTACAAACTTCTGCAGATGGCTTAATCTGTTTCTAAACAAAAAAATCACAAAAGGGAGGATATCAAGAAAACCTTAATTACAAGTATATCGTAAAATTACTGACTAAAACTATTATCATTGAGGTTTAGTTGTACAGGTGTGAGTCTTTTCGTTACTGATGATAAGGACTGGAATTAATCAATTTCTTTTGGTATATGTGTATCCTTAGCGAGCTGACTCGACGTATATAAGCGTTAAGTTACAATTGTTTTTGAGCAAAGTTGTATAGGGAATAGTGATTAAAGTGTTACATCTCATTTAGGACTCATCACCCAACTTTGCTTAAAAATACTACAATTGTAGTTGAATGATGACTTAGTAAAATAAAAAGTTGTTGTTGTTACGTGTATAAACTATAAATTAGGTAAAGATTAAGCGATTAGTGAATTATTTAATAACCTGATGCCTACAGTATATGAATTGGCGCTTGATAAAAAACCCTAATAATATTAGATTTAAAATGATAGAAAATTTTGAATTTCATATACTCACTATATTTCCTCTTCTGTATCTCTTTCAAATCTTTGTAGCAATGTCATATAACATTTAAAAAATATATTCAACGTTCATCCACCTGATAGGCTAATACTAAACTGGATAACAGATTGGGGATACTAGACAATACACTAGATTAGATTACATGAAGCACAGATACACAATTTTGACCGATTTGGAAATAAGTTGTAGGCTAGACAAATATAAGCAGTTCGTGCACGGTGAAACTGAGAGCAGAAATCATGGTTACACTATAAAAATTTCCTTATGTTACAAATCACAGACTGGGTATTTATCTTTGTATAGTGACCAATCACGGCTTATTTTCATCTGACATATCAAAATGCCAACCAGATTACTACATAATGAACTTATACTCAATTGTTTACGTAAGGTGGTATGGCTTATTCTTTTCTAGTCAACATATAAGGCGTTTTTGCTATGAAGTATTTTGATGTTGTTATAATAATAGAGTGTGATAGCTTTCAGTGAAAGGTTTATCACCTATAAGTCATCTGGTAACTGATTAATCTAGTGGCTAACACCTTGATGTTTGAAATGATTTCTAATGGAATTTAGGTAAATAATGATGGAGATTTATGTATAGAATAAAAAATACATCATGTAATTCACATTGATTGGTCAAATTACTACTGTATACTATTCATTATTATTTCAGTTTGAAATAAATAAGAGGGGAATGGGTAAATGAATTGAGTATAATTAGTTATAACCATCCCCCAAATGCATGGTACGGCAGAGGGTGGGAGATTCAGGTCTCTCTCTGAATTCTCTCAGATGGCCACGCGTATACAGCCACTGTCAGAGAAGTCCTACTCACTATCTTCTCACAGTATTACTGTTGTTTAAGAAATTAAGAGGTCGAAAATCGAATGCTCGTAGCTTTAACCGGGTTGGTGTTTATGGAGGATCCACCTAGGGGAGTAGGAAAACCCTGAATTCAAACCAATGGTGCACATGGGCTCCAGGATCCTGGGGAAACAAAAGGCGTATGAACCTAATGTTAGTCACCAGCTATCATGGGACTACATCTAACGCCCACTGCCTTGTGGGTTAAACTCTCGGTAAAAGGTTCGGGGAGTGACCCTCCAAGAGAATTATCTGTTTCAGTTTGGGCACCCGGGCAGCTCTCACACAGATCGAATGACGAAGTGTGGCGCATACGTATTTGATGCCCTCTTGTACCAATGTTTATGTGTTTAAATAAATGAATAAATAAGGTTATAACAAATATCACAACTGTATCTAGTTTAGTTAGAGGGCAATTTCAAAAATTCTCTCTCAAAATTAATTAGGTTTATACGGACATCTGTTAATTGCTTTGAGCAAATAACACTAGCAACTAGGAGAAAATTAATTAGTGATGGAATAATTTAATTTTAAGTTCGTTGATGAACCTGTACAAACGGTGAAAGGTGGAACATATATCCTGTACTATCATTCACGCATACTTTAAACTAAGACCGCTGTGTTGTTGGGGGGGTATATGGGATGGTTAACTTCTGAGTTTTTCACACTATGGGAGGATACCTCTTCTTGAGGAGACATAAAATGACTGATTTAAAAGTCATTTTGTCAACCTACGGAGTGACCACTGAGACAACTCTTTAACATGGATCATGTATACACTTTTGTGTGTAATTTGTTATATAAGCCCCGCACTTTTTAGACACTATTACTGGCACTGGAGACCTATGGGTCAGTTAATCAGCTACATATGCATTCGTCCAAGTTGCCAAAGTGAGCTACGTATTTTTTAGGGAGGACAACTCTCCAACCGACATGGTTGGATTGATAACGTTAAAAAGAACAAATGTAATGTTTAAGTTGAGATTTGTCTCAAAAAATGTCACCAAAACAGATAATCAAAAACACTAACTATTATGAATGTTTGAATCCTTTCGAGTGTAATTCCCAAATATAATGGTATCCTTACAGTCTTTTACGTGACTATGTTATCAGGACTTAAGAACTTTATATAATTATTTACAAATATTTATCTATTTCTTTGCAATTAAGCAACTTGATTTTCGAAGATTGGGTACTGGGTTTTAGTGGGGACTAATATAAGTAGTCCGAAATAAAAGGAAATATGAATTCCAACTGCCAACCACCGTCCAAAATACAATGAAAACTGAAAAAGATTTCTCTTGGATCAAAATAGACTGATTGACAGAATAGAAACATCGTATGTATTAATTAGTTATGACCGAAAACAAACTCAAAACTAACAAAAAGGAGACATACTAGAACCTCAGATGAACTGTCTAGTTGGTAGAGAACCCCGATATTATCTGATGTGACAAACTGAGATAAATGCCCTCGACCACAACCAATATCCAAAGCGACATCGAATTTTCTATGGTTTAAAAAAAACAATCAAAGTACCTTTTCATTTCATGTTTACAACAATGTTCAATTGAGTTGTACAGGCGGTTTGATTTTACGTATATTAAAATAACTGAAGAATTCATATATCAACAAAACGGTGAACAATAATGACCACAGCAATTTATTAAGAATTTGTAGATTTATCACATAAATATATAGTTTTATTATTCCGTTCTAAATACTGTAAATTAAAGAAATTCTTGATGTTGACCAAACAATACTATGGTCTTTAGTCTAAATTTAAATAGTAATACAATTGTTCAATATAACGAATGAAGAAGGCTTGAGTCCCGGGTAGGATGCCACTTTGTCTAAAACTGAAAATACAAGTTCCTGATGGGGGACAACTAGTACAAAACCTAGGTCCAGGGCTGCATGTCGACCGTTTTTAACCAAATATATGTAAAACTTCAATGGTCTGAACTCCGAATTTTCGAAACATACAAATAGTTTTCACAAAGTGGTATTTTTTGTTTCTTTAACGAATGCTGTAGTTGATGAGATGACACTAGCCTTTCTCATATTTTGATTGGAAAGTCTAACTCACTTTTACTGTAATCAGGATGAAATCTCATTTATTTCTTCGACAGCCTTCGACGCCTCAAAGGAGAAAACTATAGGTGGGTAAGTTGCTTTTGGGTTGTCATTCAGAATAGAGAAGTCGAAAATTTAAATTCTATGTAAGTTTTTTTTACACAATAACGACTCGATCTTGATTTTTATAGACTAGAATCAACTTAGGCAGATTTAAATAATCTTGAGAAGTCATACAAGGTAGTTAATTAGGTATTCACAGAGAATCACGGTTAGAAAACTAAGTCAAGTTAGGCAACATAAACTAAAAATAACACAAATATTTGATTGTACAACGCAACTTCTGTAAAAACATGACATGAAACTGCATTTAAAATCACATTCTCAAGAACAAAGATAAAACAATGATAACCTTGATATATCATTTAGGCGATCAGCTAGTCGGTCGGCAACTTCTTCACGTATGTAGTCATACATGTGAGGATCATCAGTAAGTGCTGATCGTGCGCGTTGTTTTTCTTTAACAGATTTATCAAATACTACATTTTGCCCGGTAAACTGATTTCTATATCCAACTGTGGGAATCACATATTTGTAGAAGCGCGTGAACGTATTAAGTACCTATAATAATAAGGTTGAGAACGGCATTTCAATGAGGTGATCCAAATGACAAACAGTAACCGTCAGTGAACAGTATTTTTACCATGTAATTAAATTTAGATTGCTTGTTTTTTATCTCTATGACATAAGAAAACGAACCAAAATAAACTAGGAGAATAAGGCAAGAACAGAAAAAAGTTGAAGTAGCGATTGTAAATAATATTGAGGTGGATAAGAATTAATTGAAAAATGGACCATTGGAGTTGGTTTAAAAAATAAGATTAATCATCGCAAATTCTACGCTTAACTATTGTTTAGTATCCTTGAAACGTATCTTAAACTTCATGGACCATAAACACTATAATATCGGTGAGCACACACACATGATATCCAAATAATTTAGACGATTCATGTTTTCAACTCTATTATTTGACTTTCTTAAACTAAAATTCAATGTCCTAAGTTAACACTTAGTTACTCCGTCTGTTAGTTGTAGCTTGTTTGTAGCTTATACAAAAGACTTGACAACAGACTCGTTGTTTAGCCTGACATATTCGGAGAGCGTTTAGAAAACAATGCAGTCAGTCAGTCAGCTACAACGTAGGACCAGACACTGTTTGTGAATTAATGTTCACTGGAATGTGAACACGGTGGTTTAAACTTGATCGGATTGTTTTTTAGCGCATTTACCAACGTAATGATATTAGTAATCAAATAATACAGCGATTGTCGACATTGGAACTTAATTTAGCTAGCAGAAATTAAGCAAACAGGAGGTTAACCTGTCAAAGTACGCATTGAAAATGTAACCTGGCGTTTAGAATTTAAAGCTTTGAACTACAACTGAATGAGTGCCCAACTATTAAGAAAATAAGGACCGATTACCACTGAATAAGTGAATTCCTTACTCGGTAAATCACAGATAACGCCAATAAAACATTACTGGAAATAAGTAAACTGATTTCTTAAAAGAAATCCTTGAAACATGGAAAACCCGATTAATATGGTGATGCAGGTATTATGATACTTCAATTGAATATCCTCTAGAAGTTTCAAGAGGCAGAGTATAACACGAACAGGAGTCCACAGTCATTATTCAGTGCTATTTCAGTGTGGAAACCGTACCTAGTGAGGCTTAGCACATCCTGACACGATTAGCTTGCCGGAACAAAGCAGAATTATGAAAAATGTTTTGAAAGCAAATACCTGTCCTTAATACTGGGTAATGTAAATGTTTTAGTTTGTCAAAATAACACGTAGAATACATATAATCGATAACGATGAATTTTCGATATGTTTTTGTCTTAGTTAATTGAACGAGAAAAGTTGTTGGTATCGTAATGTTGCGAATTGCTATTAACTTTATAACCGATGAACACTTGTCCATATCAAGGCTACTTTCATCCAAAGTATCAAAGTAAATTTTGGGATGCCATCGTAATTCTGAAAACTTATTTGGGCCCTTAGAACTTTATTGTTGGATGCAGTACGACTGATTAGAATGAGAAGTGCCTAAACGAAAATGGAATTGTAAAGCTGATTCACTTTACTTTATAACTAGTCTCGTAACGTTGTAGCTTGCATGAAACACACTTCCTCAGCAATGTAAAGGATGGGAATTTATGTACGCCAACTAAAGTCGTGTATACTTTCCAACATTGTGGCCATACTGATATTAAACTGCTACTAGAAATACGGTTTAAAGGGCTTGAAATCCGACAGGACTGCAAGTTCTCTAGGAAGATCGAGTACCAACTACTTTGTCATATTAGTTACGTCTAAACTATTTATTCTAGAATTAATGAAGATACGAAACACCCTAAAATTGACATGCAACCATAAGATGATGAAGTAATGAGACATTTCCAATCTCTCAATTTTGAGGAAACTTTGGGCAAATTTGGGGTTTTCCCAAATGTTTGAGAAAAAACCGTGTTATATCAGAAAAAACCCTGAACTTCCCTAAACGCTTTGGTATTTTCCCCAGACCTGGAGAAATTTTGGGGGTTTTGTGCCATTTTCCCAAAACGGACAAAAAATTTCCCCAAAATAGAGAGAGCACTACAAAATAAAAATGAAATCGACATCGGACACTGAATTAAATGGCGATCATCTACTATAACTTGACGTTTTTAAGTGTTGAGTGCCATAATTAAGAGGTTTAAACCTCTTCATAAGTAAACATTCTAAGTCCAAAAAGACAAACGAAATTAGGATGCAAACAATCTGACAGAATTGTGCGTCATATCTTTAAAAAACGTCAACATGTAACAGTCAACCTTAACAAACTGTTGGATTTCAGAGGGTTTCTAAAAGTTGCTTCCTATCGAAGGTGTTACTGACCTTCAGAACCATCCGTGAAAACCCCGCTAATGAGATTTTAAACTTTGTCACATGGTCTGAACCATAGTTATCGATCAGTTGGCTGGAATTGTCATTTGAGCAAATCTCTCGATGAGATGTGTTTATATTCTCAGCTCGATTTGCTTCTAACTGTGCCTAACTCCGCCTGTAGCTCTTCTAAAGTTACTGTCGGTCCCAAGCCCAGATAAAGGGGCAGGATCGACCATGCAGTCGGCAACCCCGTCCAGTGGGAAAAAAATCTTACTAAACAACCTCAACCAGATCAAACAAAACGAACCATTTAAACTTCGTCCTAGGAGTTGAAGTAAGAATTATTACGCCTCAAAATGAATGTCAAGATTCTTCGGAAGTCAAGAGGCCGGTGTCCATTCTAACAACCAGAGCGTCAACTAATAAAAGTACACAGAATGTCCAGAAAATGTGGGAGGACCAATCAAACAGCTGCAGAAGTGAGGAGATACAACTTGGTTGTGCTCAGTAAAACCTATCGGACTCAAGCCAGACAGAAAACAGTAGATTCGAGAAAGATGCTGCTGTACTCTATACACGAGGAAGAAAATTCTTTGCAAAGTCAGATAGTTGCTTTGACACTGCTCAAAGGAGCACGAAAGCACTTATAGGATGAGAATCTCATGGGTTCAGGATCATCAAAGAATCCTTTAAAACAAAGAAGTAGGGAATCGTGATGAATGTTATCCAGTGTTATACACCCACCATTGATATCAACGACGACAATAAAGATCAGCCTTAGAAAGGCTGCAATCAATCATAACCAAGTGCCTAGGAACCATCTCACCATCTTGATGGGAGACCCAGACTTCAAAGTAGGAGTGCAAAACACCGGATTTAAAGACATCATGGGACGACATGAACTAGGAGAAAGAAACGAAAATGATGGGAGATTTGCGAACCTATATGCACTCAACAGTTTGGTTATATGCGGCACAATATTCCCACATAAATACATATACAAACCTACATGAATCTCACCGGACCACACCACTGAGAACCAGATAGATCATACTTGCATCATTAAAAACTCAGGTCAGTGGGAGATGTGAGAAGCGGAAGGGAAGCTGACAGCTTCGGATCACCATCTACTTGGTGGTTGCCAAGATGAAACTGAAGCTAACGCAGCACTGGACGATTGGAAAAACAGAATAGAAAATATTCAGTACATCCTGCTTTCGACATACTGACAAACTCAACGAATTCAAGATAACTCTCAACAACAGGTTCCAAGCCTTACAGGATCAACTCAAAGAAGAAACTTCTATGGAGAACAACTGAAAAGGAATCAAAGAAGCATTAACCTCAATGTGTCAGGAGATTCTGGGCCACAATTATTATCATCATAAGGAATGGACCTCTATCAAATCCCTGGACAAGATTCAAGAAAGGAAGAAAAAGAAGACAGTGATTAACAACAGTCGAACGAGAAAAGAGAATATCAAGGCACAAGCTGAATACATAGAAGCAAAAAAAACAAATGAAGAGAAGCATTAGAGCCGACAAGCAGTTATACGTGGAAGAGCTAGCAACGGCAGATGATAAAGCTGCGACAGAAGGAAATACGGAACAACTACATGACAATGAAAAGACTGACGGAGAAATATGGCAAACCAGAGAGGCCACCCAAGGATAAAGAAGGCAGGCAAATCATCGAGATTCGAAGAAAAGAGGAACAGATAGATGAAATTCTTCGAGGAACTCTTGAATAGACTTGCCGCGGATATCGAAGCGGCACCTAAAAACGTTCCTATAGATGTCACCCCGTTGAAGAAATCAGGGTAACCATCAGGCAAATCAAGAGTGGAAAAGCAACAGGGCCCGACAATATACTGCCTAAAGCACTGAGGTCAGACATAGAGGCAACTACAAACGTGCTCCATGTTCTATTCAGGAACATTTGGGAGGAAGAACAAGTGTCGGTAGACTGGAGAGAAGAACACCTCATCATGATGCCCAAGAAAGGAGATCTGTGCAAATGTGAAAGCTATAGAGGAATCACACTATTGTCAGTACCAGGAACAGTTTTCGACAAAGTTTCATTGAACCAGATGAAACACCCAGTAGACGACCAACTTCCAGAACAACAGGTCGTATTTCGTAAGGATCGGTGGTGCACAGACCAAATCGCAACACTACTGATCATCGTTGAACAATCAACTGGATGGAACTTATCACATTACATCAACTTCCTTGACTATGACAAGGCGTCTGACAGTGTGGATGGGAGAATCTTGTAAGACCTTCTCCAACACTATGATATACCTGAGATCGTCAACATCACACAAGACACCACCATCATAGACTGCGGAACTACTAGTTGTCTAGAATAACATGGTCCATGACGAAAATATTATACTCCACCTATCGTTGTTAGGGATTTCCACATGGACCATAGACATCTACCTTTCAAACTCACACCTTGAATTTCTTCTAAAGATGTCTAAGAATCCTGGTTTTTCAAAGAGTTATACACTAGTGCAGTTTCCGGATCGTTCTCTGAATATGAGCTAATTCAATATCTCACGTAATTTTCAACTCTATCATACCAGTCATCTATGTGACACACTAAGGGCAGTTTTCATGAGGTTCTTCTGCCTTACGTGATAGGGCATCCTCATTCTGATGCTGATTACAGGGACTATGAATGCATCCGTAGTCGTATTCATGTAAGCGCTCTTGCCATCGAGCGATTTTCCTTTCCGGATTTCTATAATTATGTAAAAACATTGAACCTTTGTGATTAGTTGTAATAACAATCTTATGTCTCAATAAGTAATGCTGGAAGTAGAGCACAAAGCAAATGACTGTTAGCATCTCTTTGAGTGTTGTACAATATTTTTTTCCGATTTACGTAGAATTCGGCTTCCGTACAAAATGACCCTTGTTTTCCTGTCTGAAGAAACTTGTGGTAACGCCTCACCGATAGCTTGGTTACTTGTATCGGTGTCTAAGATGGAAC